GATATATAAAGAACTCAAAAATCTAAACACCAAAAAGGAAAAAAAAGAAAAACCCAAAAGAACAAACAAACAAACAAAATAACTCAATCAATAAATGAGCAAAGGAACTGAACAAGTACTTCACAGAAGAAGAAATATGATCAATCAACAAATATATGAAAAAATGTTCAACATCACTGGCAATTAGAGAAATGCAGATTAAAACTACACTTAGATTTCATCTCACTCCAGTCAGAAGGGCAATTATCAAGAATACAAGTAACAATAATTGTTAGTGAGGATGTGGGGGAAAATGTTCACTCATATATTGCTGGTGGAACTGCAAATTGGCACAACAACTCTAGAAAGCAGTATGGAGATTCCTGAGAAAACTTGGAATAAAACCACCATTTGACTCAGTTATTCCATTCCTTGGTTTATATCCAAAGGACTTAAAAGCAGCATACTACAGTGATACAGACACATCAATGTTTATAGCAGCTCAACTTTAACAATAGCTAACCTATGGAATCAACCTAGGTGCCCTTCAACAGATGAATTCATAAAGAAAATGTGGTATATATATACAATAAAATATTACTCAGCCATAAAGAAGAACAAAATTATGGCATTTTGCCAGTAAGAATAACATGTTAAGTGAAATAAACTAATCCCCCCAAACCCAAAAGCCAAATGTTTTCTCTGATATGCAGATGCTAATTCACAATGGTGAGTGTAGAGAAGGATGGAATTACTTAGGATTAGTCAAAGAGGAATAAAGCAAAAGGAGGGGGAATGTGAGTAAGAAAGACAGTAGAATGAATTGAACATTTCTATCCTATGTGCATATATGATTACATGACCAATGTAATTCTACATCATGTACAACCAGAAGAATGAAAAATTATACACCATATATGTGTAATATGTCAAAATACATTCTACTATCATGTATAACTAATTAGAACAAATAAAAAAATTTTAAAAAGAAAACATCTGCTCATATGAGCCCTTGTACATGAAAGATCACAGTAGCCAGAACCTGGAAACTATCAAGTATCCATCATCTGGCAACTAGACCAACATATCATGTAGTATACACATAAACTGGAAACTGATTCAGCAATTTAAAAAAGGAAGGAATGTCATGAAACATCAATATATGCTTCAACATAGATAAACCTCAGTTTGTGCTAAGCTGAAGGAACCATGTGACTTCATTCATATGAAATATTCAGATCATTCAAATTTGTGGAAACCAAGCAGATATGTGGTTGCCTGTGCCTGCAGTGGAAGAAAACGTTAACTGAAAACAGCTTAAGGGACTTTGGGACTTATTCTAAAACTGGATTTTAGTGATGATGGCACCACTTTGTAGATGGCTAAAAATCACTGTACGAGACACTTTGTATGGATGAATTTTATGATATGTAAACTATACATTAATAAAGCTACAAATAAAAGGTTATGTATACTCGTGAGGAAGTATCATTGCTTACACATATTAAATATAATTTTAAATCATTAACTATTCTGATGGCTGCTTAATAGATTTAGCTATTTTGAAATCTTCCTGGTGGGCAGGCATTTGTATAATTTTGTGGAGCATTCTTATAAAGAGCTGAGAAGCAACAGCCCTCTATTATCACATTCATCCTCTAAGAAAAGCAACTTTGTTGCTATTTAGACTTGAGCCCTCTCCTCTGGGATAACAGCCTACTGTGAACATAATAACTAACTGAGTTCTGATCTCATTTACATATATTAGTTGTTTTCTTTTTCTTTCACAGCAACCTCTTAAGAACTTTCTATATCTAAATCTATCACAGAAATATTCACTTTAACTATCCTTGATTGTTGATGGAATTTCCTCTCAATGTTTGGATCTTCACCATTTAGATTGGTGCCAGCTATATTTATGTCTTCTTGGAATCATAACATCCCAGACAGAAGGATGAAGAGGTTTGGTTACTTGACAGAAAGCCTATAGCATAGAAACAATCATTTCTAGGCTGGAGACAATAAACCAGGGAGTAAATTGCATTCTCATACAACTAATTTATGATGAGTTTCATTTTTAAGAATATATATATATAAATCTTTTTTAAATTGTTGCTTTATTTCTCAATTGAAACACTGACCAACTTGGATCATAAATAATACACTCTTTCATTAACAAATATTGTTAAAACTTAAATCTTGTCTTCTATTTTCAGCAGAATCTCTTCATATACAACTTTAAGTTAACTGAATTGAGTCATAAAGCTTTAACAAAATAATAATTTTTAAAACTTAGAGTACTGTAAAAATATTCTTATGTATTAATGATACCTCCAGTTACCTTAATGAGTCTTGCTTCCCCCAGTGCTGTTCAGGCCAGTGTAGAGTAGAAAGTAAGAGGCCTTATTTAAAGGATAGTAGAACAGACTTCTCCCCTGGAGGAAGAAGGGGATCCTAAAGGTGAAAGGCAGAATCCACGGGTTGAGGAAGTCCCATCCCTTTTATATCTGAAGTTTTCTTTGTCCCTCTACATTCCTCTCCTTTATCTTGTTTATTTCCCTTCATCCTGCATGTGATGGGGGATGCAGGTGGGAAGGCCAAAAGCTGGGAAACAGGTGGGCTGATGGTGTGAGGAAGGAGTGATCTCAGGCAGGAAGTGGGTCCAGGGCAAGTTAATTAGCAATTCTCCATTTGCTAGGAGTTGCTCCATTAATAGTTCTTTAGGATGGGCAGAATAGGCCTGGCTTTGGAAACACTAACATTTCAATCTCCCAAATGCAGTTTCTGATTTCCCAGACTCAAATCATACTCAATTTTCTGTATTAAACCTGATATCAGACCTGATTTATCTAACTACCTATCTTTAAAGCTGGCTTCATTGATATACTTTACATTATCAGAGACATTTCACATGTGTATAGATGTGTATCTTTATGGATGTATTCCTCCTTCACGGACAATAGATTTTTTAAGCGTAATTTGGTTCTCTGTGTTCTGGGTTTTTTTCTTGCCTCAGCCACTGAAGAGTCTAGCCCCAAACACAGAGCAGAGACACAGCAAGGGCACATGACCAGGAAACCCTCCTCTGATTCCCCCTTCCCAAAGGGTCTCTGCGCACCAGTGCCCATTGGTCTTCTGCCACACGACCACCTCCCTAGGGGGCAGTCATTTCCTTCACACCTGCCTCCTCCTTATCCATGTTTTATTCATCCACATATCCCCAAGGCCTGCAGCAACTCTGGAACTCAATAAATATGGCCCTTGAATAGCAACTAGTCAGAATTCAGATTGTTTTAGGTCAACATTTATTGAACATCTGCTATTCAATAAATGTTCAGGTCAAGTATGGAACACAAAATAAGTGGACACAGCTCCACCGACCACAGGAACTTAAGTGTATCCCAATTTAAATAATGAAGAATGATCTTTTTTTTTTAAGAATGATCTTTTGTGGTTAGAAGATTTTTATGTTTTAACTCACCATCTCTAAGTAAATTGTGAATAACTTAGAAACTAAAAAATCTAAGTACCTATTTGTAATGCTTATTATGTGATTATATTTCTATAGTTCTGAAATATTAATAGTTTCTAACTCTTACCTGGGACCATCATAAGCACTTAACATATAATACTGTGCCATTTATACATAACAATTTTCATATACTACCATATATACACTATATACATATATGAGTTATGGATAATACTTTACCTACACTACTATATATAGCATTTACTCTCCACATCAATACTACTCTTTCCCCCATTTTATAGATGAGGAAAGTTAAGTAACTTGTACAGGGAACAACTTAGAAGATCACAGAGTCAGAATCTGAACTCACTCATTTTCTCCCCTGAGTTTTAGCATTAAATTTTTAGCTAATCTACAGTTAAAACCTCCACACCAGTACATGTTTAATGTCATCAAGTTCACTTGTGTCTAAATTCAGAAAAATCCATTTGTTCTGAATAGTGTAAATAGTAACACAAAGGCTTATAGCACAGTCTGATCCCACGCAATAATTGTGGTTACAAGGGATTTGCTGATAGCTGTCAAAATTGAATTGCAGCTTCCTATTGAAAAAGAGAAGTCCTCCAACAATCAGATTCAAAGCTGGGATCAAGCTCCGCAGTCAGCCTAGGTCGACAGCTTCTTTCATCCAAACATAAAATTACCAGACAATTACTGTGGGTTCCATGAACTCACCACATACTCATTCAAGCAAATGAGGTCACTGTTTACAGGTGTGAATAAAAAGTGGAATTCGTCCAAATAAATTCACATTTATGTAGTAGATTATGAAATAGATTAAGATGGTGAATAAGTACTCACATGGGGGAGCAAATTAAATGTGCCTTTGGTGTAAGCTCCAAGTTTTCCCCCATGTGGATAATTGTTTGTATTAGTGATGCAATGATCATTTTTACTTTACCTGCTTTCCATAAGCAATTGAGAAAATTGCCTCAAGTGTATTTATGTTCATGTGTGTGAGTATATATACACACACACACATATATATACACACATATCTATATATGAATGTGTATTCTGTATATATAGTGTATATACATTCTTATGTATCTATTCTGTGTAAATATATTTGTGTGTGTATATATATACATATGTTATATAGTATGTGTGTGTATATATATATGTATATGTGTGTGTGTGTGTATATATATATATATATATATATATATATATATATATATATATATTTTGCAAGAACCAGAAAGAGGAGGGAGAAATTTATATCAGTAAACACTGAGAAGGTAGGTTAATGCAATTCAGAGGTACATTTGGCATTGACCTTTTATTAGGTAATCAGGACTAAACGAGAAACATTATAAATTACATAGTTTGTATTATTTGATACAATAATGTAGTGTATTCTTTATGACCCACAATGGTTTTGCTAACATTACATTCTAACAGGAACTTCTTCCCAGAATATATCAGTAAGGAACAATAGTAAATTAACAGATGGATAGAAGTCTTATTAAAAAATGAACTTACAGACATGGCGGCTCCGCTGGGTGGTATGTTCTCCGGGCAGCCGCCGGGCCCCCCGCAACCCGCGCCGGGACTCCCGGGCCAGGCTTTGCTTCTTCAGGCAGCGCCCGGCGCGCCGAGGACTTCTGGCAGCACCTTGGTGGACGAGCTGGAGTCGTCGTTCGAGGCTTGCTTTGCTTCTCTCGTGAGTCAAGATTATGTCAATGGCACCGATCAGGAAGAAATTCGAACTGGTGTTGATCAGTGTATCCAGAAGTTTCTGGATATTGCAAGACAGACAGAATGCTTTTTTCTACAAAAAAGATTGCAGTTGTCTGTTCAGAAACCTGAGCAAGTTATAAAAGAGGACGTCTCAGAACTAAGAAATGAGTTGCAGCGGAAAGATGCGCTGGTGCAGAAGCACTTGACAAAGCTGAGGCATTGGCAGCAGGTGCTGGAGGACATCAATGTGCAGCACAAAAAGCCAGCTGAGGTCCCTCAGGGCTCCTTGGCCTACCTGGAGCAGGCATCTGCCAACATCCCTGCGCCTATGAAGCAGACCTGAGAGAGGTCTGGCCTACAAGGTAGCCTCCTGCAGACAGTTCCTCCAGACCTCTCTGTGTGGACGTGGCATTTTAGAACAGCTATTTGCTAGAGAATGAGTTGGTGTTAATTTTACCTCCACCTAAAAATTTCCCCAATTTTTATGAGCTGTTAATTACTTAGTACTTTATAAAGTGCTTGGTAGACAAAGTGAGGTTTCATTTTGTTTGTTTTGTCTGTAGCAAAGTTTAGACTATTAGTTTTCCACAGATTTTTTTTTCTTGGCTTTTTGCTTGTTTTAAAAATTTTATGTAGTTTATATATAGTTTTTTCCCCCCAGTTGTTAGTTTGCTATGATCCGAGGGGGAAAATTAAAGTACTCCTAGAATGAGGGGAGAAGGAATTTGGTTTTTGGTCTTTTATGATTACTACACATCCATGGTAGTACAGAAAAATACGTAAATTTGCTATCTCAAGACTTTGAACTACCTCAAGAAGAGGAATCTAATGCAACATTTGTAATGCTTCCATAGCAGTACAGAGTGCAGATATTTTGTAAATATGTCAGAAAAAAGGGTTCAAGTATGCTAGGTTAGCAGAGATCCTTAAGTTGATGCTGCCTTTTGTTTGGGTGAGTGTATGTGTTATGCGGTGTTTGCTGTGTTGAGGGAGCTGTGTTGGGAGCATGACATGCTGGAGGCCTCATAGTAATGAACCAGTGTGAGTAACAGCAGACCCAGTCTCCCTAGCATGACACTGGGACACAAGTGATGGACAAGGGGTCAAAGCTTGGTCTGATTCTTTTTCTTTTGAGTTTTGTTTGCTTGTGTTTTTATTTTACTTTTTGGAGAAAAGGCAGTTTACATGAAGGAAGGTTCTTGTTCAGTGGATTTGATTCCAAGAACCTAGGGCTTTGGGGTGGAGGTGACCTGCAGAGTGATCCCCAGCTCCTTCACCTCCACCGAGAGCATGTGGATCCTCTGTGGGGAAGGTATTTTGCCCTCTTGTCAGAAGAGGTTTTCTATTTTCTGTTTTACGCAACTCTTAGATTATATCCCTCAGGCAGTACAAACACTCCTCTGTCTTCTGAATAGTCAGTAGGTCTGTGGCTGTGTCTTGGTTCATTTTGTCCTTTCCAACCCTGAAGATCCCTTCCCATGCGCCTTGATATCCACTCATGTTCCTGGTGTGGCCTGGATGCCACCTGGTCCACAAAGCCTCCACTCCATTCCAGGGCACAGGGCTTTTTTTCCTTCCACTGTCTTGTGGGTTAGTGAATGGTATCTTTTTTTTGTGCTCCTTGCTGCATTGTATGCTCATGGGAAATGGGCATTACTCCCCTGGAATATACAGGAACATGTATTTTGTACTCATTTTGTGTATACATATTACTCATTTTGTTTGTGACCTGTGAGGATGATACTTGGTTTGTGGACCTATGACCTGTGATGACTAGCCTGAGGCCAGTGTATCTCCCCTTGGTTGGAGTGTATAAGTCAAAACTTAAAAGTTATTTTTTACTCTTAGGGTTTTAACCTGGTCATCTCATGCCAGATAGAAGCTCTGATTGGCAGTTTTAGGTTTCTTGATTAAAAACCTAAATAAACGCCCAGTGTGATGGTTATGATTACATACCTGTAATCCCAGTGGCTCAGGAGGCTGAGGCAGGAGGATTGCAAGTTCAAAGCCAGCTTCAGCAAAAGCCAGGTGCTAAGCAATTCAGTGAGATCCTGTCTCTAAATAAAATACAAAATAGGGCTGGGGATGTGGCTTGAATGTCCCTGAGTTCAATCCTTGGTATCCCTGCCCCCCCCATCCCCCACAAAATAAACTAAGTTTGAGGCAATCTTTCAATGATAAAAGTGTTTTTGGTGAAAAGATCAGAAACTATTCTACTTGGTGCTTAATGAAAATGTTTTGAATGAATGTAAATACAAGTTACTGTCATTTCTTTATATTAATTCAGAAGTTATCCGTCAAATAAATAATGATTTTCCAATATTGAAAAAAAAATGAACTTACACTTTTTTTTCTTCTGAATTATTCCCCTTTGCCCCACATATTTGCTTGCATTTTTGTAGAATTGGACCCCTCTCCTCACAAAGAGTCCAATATGACCATTGCATAGTGTCCAATAATTAGGGAAGGTTTTTCCTCCTACAGAATTACCTCAAAAATCATATGAATAGAATCTAAGCCAGATCTACATTTCTGTTCCCATGTTTAAGGTAAGTGAAATTTCTAAATGAGTAGAGTTTAGAATGCCATTGGTATTTCAAGGAAAAGGACTCAGTCGTGACTGATGTCCCAAATAAATAAATGCACATGAAACCAAAATTTTCCAAAAAACGTTGTGCTGACTGCTAGGGGAACTACTTTTTAGACTTTAGAATTTTATGGAGGAATGTAATTCCTCACATTTGGGGAAATTAATATAGACTTGATGATTTTTCAACTTCAACAAGTAAAGATTTCAGAAAACCCTACAATCTATTTTTACTATAATTCTAAAAGAAGCATGTTGACTCAATGAGAGTATAAAGAGCTCAAAATAAAAGGGCAGTCCTCTAATTAGAATGTGTTGGCTCTTTAAAAACCTGGCTATGTAACCTTTTGCTGTAGGCTGGTGACAGCATTGCTCATAGCCTGTCACCAGTGCTCTAGAGACACTACCACAGAGAATGTGCAGAAGTACAAGGACATAGCTCTGACTTCAAGTGGTCCTACAATCAGCTGGGGAGAATAAAATATACACATTGAAAAGCTAATGATAACCATAAATGATGATACAACATTATGAGAGATCCTAGAGTATAAATTGTTCATTGTATGAAGGGGAGATCTCCAGGGGCTAGGGAGCTCACTGCAGGGCTTCGTGGAAGCATAGTGGCCTGTGTCACATTTTGAAACCAGAAAGAGACTGGAAGCTTTAGAGGAGGAATATCAGAAGTATCATGTATAGTAGAGAAAACACAAATGCAGTGGATCTGCTGGGTCAGTGGCATAAGAAGCTCAAAATTTCTAGGTGGTAGTAATATTGTCCTGTCCAATGGTGGGAATATTCCCTGCTTCTCCCCACACTCACCCATGGAGACTAAGACCTCTAAAAGAGTAAAAGCTCAAAGTTGCTAGGATAAGCAGAATTTCTGTGAGTGAGTTATTAGGTGTAAAAAGAGAAGAGCCACATCTACTTCTATCCCTTGATTCCTGGACCCCTGTATTCTGATGATAAGGACAACAGTATATAAAGGTTCTTGAGTCAAGGGGTACTCTGTGTCCTATATAATAGAACCCTTCTTTTCTGTTGTTATCAGCTGCATCATGACTGAGTCTTCGCTAAGCTATTCTTCCTTTTAATTGGCTAGCTGCTTCTGGGAATGTGGGATATGTAATAAGGAAATTATTCAATGAACATGAAGCCAGGGCACTTTTTTTTCAATAAATGAGTCTTTGATCAGATTTGATTCTGTGCAGAATAACATGATGGTGGATGAGACATTCTGAGAGTCTCAGATGGGCTGCTGGCAGAAGCACTGCAAACAGGGAAGGCAAAAATCATACCCAGAATATTTGTGATTCCTGGAGAGATGAATCTGACACCTCCATGATAGAAGAGGTCTAATGGAATCAACCTGCCACCAGGGGGCTGTCCAGTTCCCACAGGGAATTGGAGACCTGTGTAGGACTCCACCTTGGTATCTCTGCTCTTGGCAGATTAGGTACTCAACAATAACATTAAGCAGGTCACTCTTCATCAAGGGAAGTTCGTGTTGTCCAGCCCATGTAGAGCCTCCCTCCCTGCCACCATAACCACCTTATTTGTGGTCTCATTAAGCACTGGGTATAGAGGGCAGCAGCTGACACTAAAGAGAAAGATATTTTGTCCCTAAAGATTATTTTTAAGAGTCTCCTTTTCAGAGGATGCCTTTTGATGAGCATTCATATGGACACAGTTTGTGTCCATTCAGAGAGATCCAACAACATTATTCTTCTACTGACTTTCTCTTCACCAACATTACAATTCCATTCAATGCCCTCCGTGGACTTCAATGTGAACTTCAAGGGCAAAACATTTTTTTTTTCTTAGAGAGAGAGAGAGAGAATTTTTTTTTAATATTTATTTTTTTTAGTTTTCGGCAGACACAACATCTTTGTTTGTATCTGGTGCTGAGGATTGAACCAGGGCCGCACGCATGCCAGGCAAGCGCGCTACCGCTTGAGCCACATCCCCAGCTGGGGCAAAACATTTTAAAGGGCTCAAATTCAATTACATAGAACAGGCAAACAGGAAAGATTCAACAAATGTATGACCAGCATATTATCCTATCTATATGCCCTTCCCTCCATGCATCATCTCCTTCTTATCCTTCCATTGCCCTTTGAACCCATCAGGTAGGTGCCTGACTCAAGGTATTTGCCTTGCTCTTCTTTTGCCCAGAATGCTCCTCTCCCAGGGAGACACACCCTTCACATGCTTCAGGTCTTTGCTCTCAAATTCCACCCTCTTACTGATAGCACCCTGGCTACCCACACTCTCTGTTCCTTTCTCTGCCTTATTTTACTCTATAACATAATGCACTATGCCTTTTTCTTTATTATCTTTATTTTTTGTGCCCTCTCTAGAAAGTAACCTCCACAAAAACAGAGAATCTAACTATATTGTTCATTATCTTATCCTTGGCATTTAGAACAGTGCTTAGTTCAGAGCAGGAACTTGAACTTGAAAAATATGCATTTAGTGAATGGTCCTTAAAATAATTGTGTTATTTGTGCCCACTTAAGTCAAAAGTGATAAGAAAGAGTATAGTTTAAAAAAAAATGTAAGCATATGTACAGAAAATGCTTTTACAATAATATTTATTACTTCATTCACAATAGCTAAAAACTACAAACTCTCCACCAATGGGAGAATTAATGTATATTTTTTTATTAAAATACTATTCATCAATAAAAAGGTATTAACTGATAAGCTCAGCAACATAGGTAACTCTGGAAAACATGTTGAGCAAAAGAAACTCATTACAAAATGTGTATACTCTATGATTCCATTTATATAAAGTTCCAGAACTGGTAAAACTAATTTGTTTTGTTAGGGATAAAAATAATGTTTGCGTAAATGAAATCAGCAAATCAACGAGATGCTTGCATTCTCATGTTTATTGCAGTACTATTTCCAATTGCCAAGACATGGAATCAACTAAGACATCCTC